ATATGTCATATCCCCTAGTCAGCCCCGTTGAGCCGTGCGTTATCCTTTCTTTTGGTTTTTAATGAAAAAATCACCCTTTTGCATCTTTTAGAAGGTTCCACAGAGTAGTTTTTACATATTCTCTGCTGTTTCTGCTAAATGTAATGTGAGGGTTGGAGGTAGTGCTTAAAAGTTGGGCGTATGTTTGAAAAATGTGCAGAGGTGGTGGTTCTCTTAAGGAATGAAAAAGGAAAAAACTAAAGAAAAACAAAGAAAAAATGAAAGCAAAAGAGAGCCACCACCAAAAATCTGAATAGTGCCCATTAAGTAGTGTTTCTTAGCAGTCTGGCTTGGAAATGCTAGCATTTTTATAACCTCCTTCGCTCTTGTGCCCTAAAGAAGTTGAGTAATGCAGAATAGCAGAAAGGAAGTTACTGGTTTGCTTGACTGTGATTTTTGTTGGATTTGGAAATGTGGAACCTTGTGCTATCACTTCCACCACCTAAAAGGCCTTTTCCCCATGTCCAAGACCCTAGCCAGTCATTTGAACCTGTGTCTAAGACCTCCGGATTAGTTAGTGGTGACACCCCTTATGTGAACTCTAGCATTTAGAGGCTGCATTCATGGTGAAGAGACGTTAGGGATTGAGAGATTAAGCATGCGCATTTTTCGCATCAAATTGTCCTGACCCCACTGGTCGAGAGTGAGCGATTCATTTTCTCATATTCTCTATACTCTTTACCCCGGTGAGGACCTAGATTGCTCGGTCTTAATTCTGATATCTTGAGCTTTCTGAATGAAGTGATTGTTTTGAACAAGTGGTTGGGTCAAGTCTATGTTGGTTGGTGAACAGAAGGGAACTCTTCCTTTGCTCGACTTTATTGCATTCGAATGTCATCTGTGGTGGTTGTCTAGGTTGTCGTTCGAGTTGCCATGTGTTAATGATCGAGAGCCAGTATGATCCACGTGTTTTGTGCCGATATGATTTGCCCTAAAGCTTGCTTGATTGAAGTGTTTTGAGCTTACCTGGTGTCTGACTTGGTTTGCTTAGGGACAAGCAAACGGTTAAGTGTGGGGGAATTTGATAACGGTGTAATCGCATGTTTTTATACCCCTATTTCTTACCCATTTGCGGGGCATAGTTGTGTGTTTTGGCCTATTTTACGCCGGGTTGTGCTACTTTGTCATATTTCAGGTCCCAGGCGTCGAAGGGAAGGCCAAGCACGAGTTTCGGGGCATTTGGAAGTCGTTTGGTCGAGCTATGACCAAAACACGGGCATGAGGCTTGAAGAACACGGCCGTGTACACCAAAGGGCCCGCTAGTGCTTTTACTGCCGAGAGTTGAATGAAGAAAAGACCAAAACACGGGCGGGGTCAATTCTAAACACGGCCGTGTCCTACTTCAAACACGCCCGTGTTTTCCCCCAGACCGTGCCCGTGTATTTATGACGTGGCAGAGGGCACGGGCGGGCTAGAGAAGAACACGACCGTGCCCTCGACCGTGTTCTGGCCAGTGATGCCCTTTTAGGCAGATTTTCAGCCAAAAGAGAGGGGATTCGAGTTTTAGAGAGACAGAGCGATTCCTAGAGAGAGAAAGCGACGAACAAGAGTCTCCAAGTGCCCTAGCTTTATCTTCATCACCATTGGAGCTTGGCTTGAGCTTGGAGTAGTGCCGATCAACGTCCAGGAGCTGAAATCCATCCTTCACAGTATGATTTCCGCGTCTGAATCTGCTTTTGCTTCTTTCTCCATGGAGTAGTTCTCCCATTCATCTGGGTATGGGAAACCCTAGATTTGTATGTTAGGTTTGATTGTATGAACCCAAGTACTGTTTCTATGATTTGATTATATTCGATTGAGGTTTGAATGATTGAATGGCATGAATCCTGATCAAATTCCTGTTGTTTCTGCTTTAACCTAGAATGAGAATATCTGCCTAGGTTGATAGAGCACCCTTAATTGAAGGTAGTGAATTGGTGACTTTAGTCGAGGAGCCAATTCACTATTCTGTACCGAAGTTACTTCGGTAGAGGAGGTTTTGTTCGTTAGGGCCTCAATCTGTTTACTCCGGTGGAGGTTAGTCGCCCGCTAGAGACTCAGATTGAGAGGGTCTGGAGACCTTTAGTCGAGACTTCAGACTGTTTGAGAACCTTCCGCAGTATAACTATCATAGAAATTGAACTTGGTAAATTGCAATCCGGCTTAACTGCAGTCTAGGGGGAACCATATCCGGGTGACCTCTCTTAACCTGAAAACAACCGTTTAGTTGCTTTGCTTGCTTGTTAGTTTAGACCTTCACTAAAGTTTCATTGCTAGATAATACGAAGTCACTGAGTAGTCATCATATCTAGGACCCGGGTTGACATTAAAACCCAAACTCGCTATACTACGCTTTAGGAAGTGGTTACACTTGGCCATTTTCTAGAGTGACAGTAGGAGTGAGTCACTGCCCGGAGTACTACTTTGAGTTAAACTACCTAGACACAACATAAAAAACAAGAGCCAAGCCCTGCGAGCTATATCCTTTCCTCATGAATTATTTTGAGTTACGCATAAACTAATAATTAAAATGATGGTTTTGGAACATTAATCTTAAATGTTATGTGTCTTTATGTTATTAATGATTTACTTTATTAATATGATTATATGTTAGTTTCTATATGGAACTTAAAATCCTACGATTTTACGATTCCGATTTTACTCCAGTTTTTTATTTTAGGTAAATCCCGATTTTGACTGCGTTGCTCTTAATACGTATTAGCACCTTGGGTAGGTTGTGTTTTGGTCGTCCGCACTACGGTTCGAGGGAGAAGCCCAAGTAACCTTTAGTCGATTGGTCAAGAGAGCTACCTTGGTAGCTTGATTCTAAATCTCTTGGCCTAGTGACCGAGAGAGTGATGCTTGCTCACTCTTTGCTCTTCCCTACGGTTTACAACTGCCTTTACCACACATTTGCATTCGATCCAACAAGTCATTAAGCCTTCTCAATTAGTGTTCAATCCATTTACTTTTCCAATCGCTTTAGCTTTAAACCATAGTTTTAACCAAAAACCATTTGCTAGATAATGTTTCAAGCAATTGAAGTAGGGGTACATGGACTGGCCCGAATTTGACTTTTAAAACATTATTGCCTTATATTGCACCCAATTAAGGTTTATACTTGCGCCTTAATCGGGATTTTTATTGTGATATTCGGGATGAGTCAACCACAAATGACATTCGAATGCATTAAGACCGTGCAAATGAAGAGTTCTCACCTTGTTCACCAACCAATACAGAACCTATCATGATGACTCACTAATCACAGTTACCCATGCATAAAGATCAATTCATAAGAACAAACGATTAAGCAAACTAGGTTCTCATCGAGATATGATATAGACAAGATAAGATGAATGAATCACTCACTCTCGACCAGTGGGTTCATGACCATTTTGATGCAAAAAAAAATTGACTCGCTCTAACTACAACTTCCCAATAGATGGCCAAGTATAACCGACGACCGGGTGTAGGATAGGGTAAGAATGCAATAAAATTTATCGAATCACGGGGATTTAGACTCACCTTAGTTTGGGTTTAGGGTTCGTTATCTAGCCAATCTAGAATGGTGATTAGGCTAACTAACCTAACTACACTACCCTAGTTAATTACAAAGTGGTGGAGCTCTGTTAGGTTTGAACCCCCCTAGTTCCCCCAATTGGAACGATGTTGAGTACTATCCTAGCTCGATTGTCTCATTATCCTACCGTTAGGAGATAGACTCCCTCGGGATTGAACCAAAATGGCAAATTGATGGATGGGTAAGTGCTCTATTCAACCCGGGGGTTCATATATCGCTAGGAGTTCGATCGAATCAACTCCCTCGGGGATTACCCGGACATATACGATAGGAGTGATCCGAAGATGCCAATAATGGGCATTGAGGGGAGTTTCTCCCTCCTAGGTCAAAAGCTCAATACATGAAATGGAATCCAAACTCATGGAATCCAAACTCATGCAATCCATGAAAATCATCCATCAAATAGATAAACTTATCAATCAAACATAGAATATGTCACATACATCAACTTCAAACAAAAATCTAGACGTAGGGTTCATCAACCGAAGTGAAAGAGGTCTAGTTCATAGAGAAGAGGAGAGAGATTACAAAAATTCTAAAGATCTTCATCTTCTAGGCTTGAATCCTTGACTTCAAGATCAACCCAAGCCTTCAATTAAGCTCCAAGATCACTCTAGAACTCTTTCTCTCTCTACAACTCCTCTTTGGTGTTTTGGGTCGAAACCCTAGAGAGAGAACCAAGTTCTTCTCCAAAAAATAGCTCTCCTTTCTCCCTCCCCGCTCCTATCTTTTTATACAGCCCAACAGTCCAAGTCATGACCGTTCATCAGAAGACCGACCGTGATCTCGGAGGAAACAATTTAAAATCCAACTCGTCAACTTTTCGTCTGTTTGACCATTAGTTGACACTTGATCAAGTTCGAAGTACGACACTTCATCAATATCCATTGATATCTTCTCTGAAAAGCCACCAACATATCGTGGTTCCAAATCCGAGAAGTCCATGACTCCACCATGATGGTATAAAATATCTAAATATTCAGTCATCTGCAATGCCAAAAACAAGAAAACAAAGTTGTATTGTGACAGTTTTCTCTAAACAAAGCTTTTTTGAAGTCAAACGGACGGAAAGTTGACGATTTGGATATTAGATTGTTTTCGAAAAAGTTTGACTATTATATTGTTTAAAATGAAAAGTTTGGATATTAAATTGTATTTATCCAAAATTAAAATACTAAAATTTTGGAATATTGATCTTCATGAGTCTCTTACAAATCAATATCATGTTGCTAAGTCAATATTACTAACAAAATTAATAACGGGAAGTTAACACTTGACTAATTTTTAATATTTCGATAAATTTAGATGATATAAAAAAATCTAAAAAATGTTTGAATAAAAAATAAATATTACCCTATTAATTAATCGCGTTGTTGTTAATTGGTTTGGTTCGTTGACAAACCAACCACGGGACAGAAGACCAGATGGCTCCCCGCACTCATCGCCCCCTTCTTCCCTCCCTCTTCATTCCTTTCTGTCTTCTTCGTCCCGCAAAATTCACTCCCTTCCTTCCCAGTTCTTCTTCTTCTTCCTTGGCCAGCCCAATTTCTTCAAGCAGCAACAGCAAGAGCAAGCTACCCATTTCGAGTACCAGTTCCTGCTTCAGATTCAAAATCCCCCACCGTTTTGGAGCTGCTCGGGAGAAAGGGTATTGATAATCCACGATTGCAATTTCAGAGGAGAGCAAAGCGGGGAAGAAGGGAACGCCATGAATCAATCAATTAATCCATCAATCCGCAGTTGGGATTGTTGAGAACTCAGAAAGGCGGAGATTTCCCTTCAAGCCCCACAAACATTCATTCCCCTTTCTTCTTTATGTAATGCATCAGAAGAAATCAGAAGTCCAAATCGGAAAAGAAAGCAGCGGCGTCTCTTCCGATTTCAACCCTACCCCTCCACTTCTCTTCCCCCCACCGCCCCATCCCTCTTCCGCCACCACTGACCACCACCGCCCCCTCAACCATGATTCCTCCACCACCGCCGGCGCCCTGCCTTTCCTTCCTCCTCGGATTCTCGTCGATTTCGCCGACGAGACCCCTAATGACCCAATTGCCCCCTCCCCTTCATCGGCTTCTTCTGCATCTACCCCCTACAAGCGGACCCTTTTGACCCACCAACATCACCACGCCCTCGCTGCTCCTCCCCCTCCTCCACCGCCTCTGCCTCGCCGCTCTTCCTCCCTTTCCAAATCACCCACCATCTACCATTTCTCTCCATCCTCCTCTCCTCACCACCATCATCACCCGCTATTGACCCTCTCCATCGCTGCCAAATCCACCGCCCTTCGGTTCCTCCGCCGCTTCCGCCACTTCCGGCGTATCCGGGTCCATCTCCGTCTAATCCTTCTCCTCTCTCTCCCCTTCTTCTACTTCCTCGTTTCCCATCCCAGCCACTCCTTTTTCCTCGACTTCTTCTCTGCTTTTGCCTTCTCGTCTGTTCTCTTGTTCTCCCTCAATCTCGCCCTCCCTCGGCTCCCTTCAATCCGGCTGTTCCTTGCCCGCTCCTTTCCCATCAAGCTCGCTGCTACCTCCAAGCCACCGTTGCCTGTGTTCTGGTCGATTGGTTCCAGACCCAGATCGGAAAAAAGAGGTAATTCTGGTTGTTGGGTTCAGGTTTACAGCAACGGGGACGTCTACGAGGGCGAATTCCACAAAGGTAAGTGCTCCGGGAGTGGAGTGTACTATTATTACATGAGCGGGAGGTACGAGGGGGATTGGGTTGATGGCAAATATGATGGCTATGGAGTGGAAACCTGGGCCAGAGGAAGCCGCTACAGAGGCCAATACAGGCAAGGTCTTCGTCATGGGTTTGGAGTTTATAGATTCTATACTGGAGATGTCTACGCTGGGGAATGGTCTAATGGCCAAAGCCACGGCTGTGGAGTTCATACTTGTGAAGATGGTAGTAGGTATGTCGGAGAATTCAAGTGGGGTGTCAAGCATGGTCTTGGTCACTACCATTTCAGGTAGTGCGCAATCTCTCTCAATTCTTTTTTTTCCCTTCTTCGTCATGTTAACTGGAAACGATAACTGCATTAGTCCTCTACTGTTCTCTTGTTCTTGATTGCACTTCTCTAGGTGATCATTTACTGGATTCTGCAAGTAGGCAATTAGTTTCAGCTTTCAGGGCCTCTGGGATGTTGTTGCTTTGATGTGATTGCTGTGAGGATTCTGTTCTCATAATTGTGCAAACTTGTAGGTGTCTTAAGGGTCTTCTTCTGCTTACTTGCATTGATGCGGATAGTTGAAGTTGGATGGTCAAGAATAAAGCTCTTTTTCCGTTGGACGGAAGCACTACCCCTGTCTTTGACGTTTACCTTATACATGGGGCTAGGAAAGCTATATAGCTTAGCAGGGTTTCCCCCCCTTCCTCTCGTCTCTAAGTTGATGGAATGGACGGCATTATCATTTGATAGTGGGAGGAAATGGAAGGTGGAGAACAACAGGTGCAAGGCCCTTGGAAAGTTATTGATTCTTGCCCATGTTTTTTTGGTTTTTGGGTGCTTTCTGGAGTTTGGTCGCCTCAGGGAATTAATTCTTGTCCGATCTCTTCAGGGAACATATAGGGTATGTTGTTTGATCTCCTTGGGGTTTGGTTGTCTAGCCAATTAATTCTCAAGTCCGAGGCACATCCTTTAGCTATCATCTATATAATAACAGTCTAGTTTCTCCCTCCCCATTGGTTAGAGATTTTGAATCTTACCAGAATTTACATTTCACTTCGATTTCCTTTGCGTGGCTACACAGCAAATAAAGCAATGCTTGCGTACTAAGAATTCATTCTAGCATTTAAAAAGTGCACCAGGGATCTTTGTTTTTTGCTGTTGTGAGTTGCTGTTGTCTACCTTTGGCTAATTTGATGTTTGTGTTATAAATTCATATATAGAGCTTCTTATTGTCCTGTTTGCCATAACTTGATGGTGTTGAATGTTTCTAATAGAAACGGTGATACGTATTCTGGGGAATATTTTGCGGACAAGATGCATGGATTTGGGGTGTACCGTTTTGCAAATGGGCATAGATATGAAGGAGCCTGGCATGAGGGTAGAAGACAAGGGCTTGGAATGTATACATTCAGGAATGGGGAGACACAATCAGGTCATTGGCAGAATGGAATACTTGATGTTCCAAGTACTCAGAATACAACTCCTCCTGCCTCGCCTGTTGCTGTTTATCATTCTAAAGTACTCAACGCAGTACAGGTACCAGTGAATAACTTTTCACTTTATTAGTGCGTTTGTTGGAAGTTGCTAGTCGCGGCGGAGTTTTGATGATTTCATGTCCGATGGACCATTCTCACTTGTATTCGGTGTCTCGCGTGGCCAGGAAGCAAGGCGGGCTGCAGAGAGGGCTTACGATGTGGGGAAGGTGGACGAGAGGGTGAATAGAGGCGTAACAGCAGCTAACAGGGCAGCCAATGCAGCTAGAGTAGCAGCGGTTAAGGCTGTCCAGAAACAAATGCATCATCCTAACCATCTGGAGAATGTACTTCCAATCCCGATCGTGTGAAATGCAAATGCCAGGGAAGCGGCAGTTTTTCCATGTCATCCTCCGTCTCATCCCACTTTGTGTCAGATCTGGAAATGACTCAACGCTGTGCCACTGGAATGGAGAAGAGCGATTGGAAGAGATTGGCCAGTTCCATTTTTGTTATAACCTTTATGTTTTTGTATACAAGCAAAGCCTTTGTGTCCTAAGAGATAGGGAGTAGAAGAAAGGAGTATGAGTCCTGAGTGTGTGAGTGAGCTCTTGAGCCTGTTTCTTGGGTTCTGTATAGATGAGTTTAGATAGTAGGAGCACAGGTGAAACCTCTGCTCGGCACTGCAGACATATTTGTATTCATTATGCGGATATTGTTAGAGAAGGAAGTTGGCAATCAATGTTTGTTCCTTCCTTCCCTCCTAGTGAAAGAGGATCAGGTCTTTTTTTCTCTTCAATTCGAAGACCTCTGGCTTCAAGGACACTGATGATAACAAAGAGGCTTATCGTCAATGACTCAATGGCAACACACAAGACGAGGAGTGGCAATGGTTGTGGAGCAAATAAAAGAAGCAAGTTGCAACTAGGGGTGAAACTGGCTGAAACCCAGCCCTGCCACTGCCCAAAAAAATCCAGCTTTGTATGCTCAAATATTCGGCCCGACCCGGTCCGATCCTATTCTCATTTGGTCCTGTATGGCCCTGTTAGGTGGGGTTGGGTCGGGTCGGGTCGGGCTGGCCATAGGGTCTGCCCAATTTCTTTTTATACAATATTATCCCACTAAATTATTTAACATCAAATCATTGGGCGAACGAGTTGGTAACGAATTGGTTCTATAGGATTCGTTTCAGGAAAAAAAGGGATGCAAAACGTTCTTTTCTCTCTCTTCGTTTGGCTGACCGCCGTTGTTGGTAGCCGAGTTAGGGTTTCGACGATGGCGATCCAATGGCTGGCGCGGATGGTAGATCAAGCAAAGGTACTCCCCTCTGATTCCAGAGAAGGTGAGGTTGAGCAGGAGTCTATGCGATAGACTCCTATAGGCGGAGAGTCGAGATTTAATCGGCGAAATGGGGGAATCGATTTGTTCGTCCGATATGTTCAGATTCGAAAATCGGGAAGGATAAATCCGAATCGGGAGACCGTCCAGAGTACGGTGCTTCGCTAGGCCCCTGAGTGGACTTATATAGTCTCCAGATGAAGTTTGCGTACCCACCAACGAGATCTCGGTGCTTGCAGTGGTGGAGGATATATCGTCAACCAGAGAGTTTTTCATATCGACGACGATATTCACGAGGTATGATTACCGTTCTTTGGTATAGTTGGGTTGGTATTTTTGGCATTATTTACATCCCAGTTGTAGTCCTAATCGGCTTTTGGGGGGGGGGTGTACTGGTTTATCCAGAGACTGCGGAGGCAGAAAGCAATGATGAACGCTGGCGAAACAAAGGAGATGGCTACCTCAACTGTCGAGGTTGTCATCCAGAAGGAAGGTCCCATTGCTATGGAGGCGATGAATGAGACATCTCCAACGACCCAGGCTGAGCAACTGAAGGGGGCGGATGAAGAAGTTGTGACCAGGACAGAGGGGATGAAGATTGATGAAGTAGTAGCTGGGATCCAGGCCTTAGCCATGGATCAAATTGTGGAGTTTACCATGGAAGATGTGGCTACCGGGGTTCAATGGGCGAAGATGAGCCTCTTGGGAAGATTGTTTATGAAGAACCCCCCCCCCCCCCCCAGTTTAGCCGTTATCAGTAAGGCGGTGAATGGAGCGTGGTCATGTGCGGTGGAGGTCAAGGTTTTTGCAGCGAAAAAGGGGTATTTTTCAATTCTTCTTTGGTGACGAAGCTGATAGGGATTGGGTGCTCCAACGCACACCATGGACAGTGAAGGAACGTGTCCTGCAATTGAAACCCTGGAGTCAAATAACGAAACAGGTGGTGGACTCGTTCATTCTCGTTCCGTTTTGGGTCAAGATGTGGGGGATTCCCAACCACTGCCGCACGGTGGCTTTTGGTAAACGTGTGGCTGGGACAAGATTTGGGAAGGTGCTGGAGGCTGGAGCATTTGCAATACAAGGAATCTCGGGGCACTTCATCAAGACGAAAGTGCTGTTGGATGTCACCCAACCTTTGCGAGTAACTCTATAGTTGGTGAGTTCTGGGTTACCCTTGTGTATGAGTTCCTCTCACTTCTGTGTTATCATTGTGGAAGATTGGGACATACGGCTCCGAACTGTTGGTTTCCGGATCCTGTGGAAATCGAACACTATGGCCCAGAACTTAGCACGGAGATCATTGGGTACCGTGTGGATGAGGAAACTGTTGTGCCTCTCCCTCTTCGCCAGTTGACCCATTCGTCAGTTTGGGTGAACCCTAATACAGGTGGGGTTGCTGCAGGGAGCAGGAAGCAGAAGAGGGGTCGAGATAGTGTGGAGGCAGCTGGGGATAGCCAGGTTAAACCTGTGGTGCTTGCTTTACCAGCACAGGGGAATATGGAACGTGATACTCAGATGAAGTAGGGACATGGCCAGGGACAGCGGGTGAATTTGGTTGGTTCTGGTGGAGGCAATAATGCATCCCGTGGTCAGTATTCGAAGGGTAAGGGGAAGAGTGGGAATGGTGCGTTCCAGCATCATAATAAAGGGGCGGAGAAAGGTAAAGACAATGGTATGAAGCAACAGAGGTTTGACACTCGGCGGCCGCACAACAGGCATTCAAATGAGGCTGGTGTGCAGATACCAGCAGATGCGTCGAAGAGACATGGGAAGGAGGTATTCAGAATGACAGCTCCTGATCCGATGGAGGTTGAGGAGAGGAAGAGGGCAGCGGGTGAAGTATGCAATCTGAGGTGGAGGCAACCAGCCAGGAATGGTCCCAACCAGCCAAATGAAGATGATCGCTTGGAACGTAAGAGGTATCAGACCTTCTCTTACGTTCCAATCCTTAGTTGGTCTGTGTCGCTCGAATAAGCCAGAGATTGTTTTCCTTTTGGAAACGAAATTTTGTAGGGGCGTAGTTACCCGTCGGATGCGGGGTTTAGGCTTTCAAAACTTTTTTCTTGTTGATGTTGTGAATGCAGCGGGTGGTTTAGCTCTTGCTTGGGAGGGTGGGATTGAACTCGTTGTAATGGAGCATGATTCTTTTTTTTTCGTTTGGTATTGGTAATGAAAATGGTCATTTTGAGTATGCTTGTGTGTGTACTTATCTTCGGATGTGGTAATTCGAACTCATCAGGTGGCTGCTCTTTCTCATTATTGTTTACAATTAACAGTTCCATTTGTTATAATGGGAGATATGAATTGTGTTTTGGAAGCAAATGAGAAAGCAGATGGCCTGGCGTGGGATCCAAATGGGTCGACGGCGGTAAGGGAACTCATAAACAGGATGGCTCTTCAGGATATCGGGTATTTAGGCCTGCAATTTACATGGTCTAACAGGCGTATGGGTGCGGCCTGTATTATGGAAAGACTGGACCGGGAAACGAGATTACTGGTCAGTTATGTTTGGAATCAAACATATACTAGATCTCCAATGTTTCGGCTTTGGCAGCGCTTGAAAGCTCTCCGGCATTTACTATTTGACTGGAGCCGGGCAGGGACGAATAACTCGGCTCGCAACATTCGAATTCTACAGACGGAAATTCAAGCGTTGAAAGGAGGAGTGGGCACTGACTGGGACCGGATTGGCGAACTTGAGAAAGAATTATCCAAGCAATGGGTTGCGGAGGAGGAATTCTGGAGGCAGAAGTCGCGCATTAAATGGCTGGAAAAGGGAGATCAAAACTCTGCTTATTTTCATACAGTCACTCGAGCGCGACGATGGAGTAATTTTATTGAGGGTCTACGAGACAGGAATGGGGGCTGGGTGACAGAGGAAGGTGCGAAGTGTATGGTGGCAGGGGATTTCTATTCCAAGCTATTTACGTCCGAATGTCAATTGGAAAATGTGGCTACTCGAATAGCGGGCCTCCCCATGCTCGAGATAGTATCCGAGGAAGTGAACAGTCGACTAACAACTGATGTTTATGCGGTGGAAATTAGAGGTGCTGTATTTTCCATTGGGGCTACTTAGGCTCCGTGATCGGACGGCTTTACTTGGAAATTCTACCATGCCTATTGGTATATCATTGGTGGAGAGGTCGTGGAGGCGGTTCAATCGTTCTTTCGGTCAGAACGACTGTTAAAAAGTTTTAACCACACCTGGTTGACATTAGTCCCTAAGGTGGATGCAGTGGATTCCATGAGACAGATTAGGCCAATTAGCTTGTGTCAATTATTTTACAAGATTATTTCTAAAATCATGGCGGAGCGGATGTCCACTATTTTTCCTTCCATTATCCCACCGGAGCATAATGGGTTTATCAGTGGTCGTCAGATTCTGGACAATGTGCTAATTGGGCATGAGGTCATGCACTATCTTAAGATTAAGAAGCGCGGAAAGAAAGCTTACCTAGCTCTGAAGGTCGACATGTAGGGATGGCAATGGGGCGGGGAATCCTCCATGTTGGATTTCCTATTCGCTATACCGCAAACTGGATAAATATATGGCTCGATGTTGGTGGCGGTTTATGGTGGACAAGGACAAAGCTCACTGGGTTTCGTGGTGGAACCTATGTCGTAGTAAGTTTGATGGTGGACTGGGATTTAGACGCTTTGAGAACTTTAATCAAGCGCTGTTGGCAAAGATTTCTTGGCGACTTTGGCAGGAGCCGGATTCTTTATTAGCGCGAGTTCTCAAGGGAAAGTATTTTGCTAAGTCTTCCATTTTTCAAGCTCGACGTGGTTCTAGGCATCTTCTTGGGGATGGACTAGTGTACTGCATGGGAGGGATTTATTGCTTCAAGGTTTAACTTGGCAAATTGGAGATGGTGCTTCGGTCCGTGTGTTGGAGGACAGTTGGGTCCCGGGTTATCGGTCGGGTGAGCTCACTATTCGCCCCTCTGTTCCTGACCTGAAGAATGTCCAGGTCGAGGCACTCAAGGTTCCTGGTATGGAACGGTGGTGTGATGAGTGCCTCCAGCAGTGTTCCCGGATGAGATTGTTCAACGTATTTCTTCAATCCCTTTGCTGATCCACGAGGTGGAGGACTGCTATGTCTGGGATTGGGAGGTGGATGGGAAGTACACGGTGAAATCGGGCTATCATTTGGCTTTTCAACTTAGTCGGAGACTGCCGGGTTGGAAGGACGAAGTTTCTTTCTTTGATGTGGGTTGTTGGAAGAAGGTAGGGAGTTTTCCTATCCCGCCAAAGTTGAAGTTTTTCGTGTGGCAGCTTATGAGGCGTATCTTACCCACGATGTAGGCAGTAATAGAGATGAAGGAGCAGGTTTCGGTACCCTAGGAGGATCCGGTGGAGGATACGTCATCTGTTTTGCTGAAATGTCCAGTCTGTTGGGCCCCTTTGGAGACGTTGGAGCATATATTATTGTCTTGTAGGATTGCGGTTGCTTTGTGGGAGCGGTCGGACATTGCGATGAGTGGGTTGGAGACATCGGCCCC